CTCACTAAAAGCAGTGAGTGTGAGTAAAGATCCCAATTTGCCCGATAAAATTGCCAGCGAGGGCTAGGGAAAAAGGTGGTGAATGGGAAGGAGAAGTAAGAATGATCAGAAAATGATCGCTGTCATGTAAGTCTGGTAGAACAGACCAGGTGAAGTCAAGTGCAGTGGAGGAAGAGCAGACTGATAGATCGATGCAAGAGAGAGTATGAGTACGGGATCAAAATGGGTGGGAATACCCGTATTTAAAAACATGGAGGGGGTGAGAAAGGGAAAAAAAGCCTCGAACTGGATGCCACGTGAGTCACAATGAGACCCCCCCCCCAGAGGAAATGGTGGGCATTAAAATCACCAAGTACAGAAGTGGTGGCGGTAGGATGAAACAAGAAAGGCAAAGTCTGGGATAGAAATGCCCGAGAAGGAGAGAGATATAAAGAACATATTGTAAACCACTTATTGAAGTGGGTAAAGGGCTGCAGTGTAATGCAGCGAGGTATGGACAAATAGTTGACAGTACGGGAAATATCATTGCGTAGAAGAAGGGCACTTTCATTAAAAGGGCCCATCTGAGAAAGGATCCGAAGAATACAATAAATTAAAAGCCTGAGATAGGTGGAAAACAGCCGAGTGTAATTTTGGTTCTTGTAAGCAGCACCAACAGGGGAAAACCTGAAAGCAACATCTGAAGCTCACCCCGATTACCCTGAGCCGCGGATATTTCCACTGTAAATAGGCCATGATTGGCGATGAAGAAAATACCAGGAATCTGTAGGTAAAGGCACCTACGGACTAGAGGGGTTAGAAAAGTCAACGTGTGGTGGATTGGAAGACGTTCAAGTAGCGAAGGAACGGAGTGTTTCGAAAAATGGGGTTTTGAAGATGGAGGAGAGGGAAGAGAAGGAACAGGGAAATGAATCAGTGTCCATTGAAGGTTTAGTCTCTGCAATATATTCTGAAATGGCTTCAAGTGTTTCTGAATTCAAAGATGTATGGGAGACCATAAATTTGGGGATAGAAGGAGGAGGGTGAGTAAGATTGGGACAGTAATGGACTGTTTTCAAAGTAAGAGGGGGAGGGAAGAGTGTAAGGGACTGAAGATGAAGTGTGGGGGGGGACAGAAGAGGCAGAAACCTGGGAGGTGGCAGAGGGAGAAACTTGGGAGGGGACGGGGGTGGAAGGCATAGTACGAGGAGGAGGGTAAATCTCCACACTTGTAATAGAGCCAGAGAGAGGGGAAGAACTAGGTACAGAGACTGGAAAGGTAAAGTGTGGAGGTGGAAGAAGGGAAGGAAGGGGCAAAGAAGATTTGAGCAATGTGGATTTTTTGGACTTCTGAGTAGAGGGGCGATTGGTAGTAGGTGTCGTACGAGGTCTTGTCGATACGGGGCTTGTGAGGAAGACTCGAAGATGTGAGAACAGACTGAGTTGTAGTCGGGACGTCAGAGCCAAGGACAGCAAAAGGATTAGATGCCGTAAGTGGCTATGGAAGGGGTAACAACAAGGAGGTGCAGAAGATGGGACCCCAGAAGTGGGGGGATGTTTGGAAACGGCGAGAATAAGAAACACGGGGTAGTCTCCCTTTGGGGGCGAGATGAGTAACTGCCATAGCATAAGGGAGACCTTCTGGGCCTCTTTGAGGCAACGGATTTCACGTTCATTTAAGTAGACCTGGCAATGGCGGGAGTACGAAGGGCGAGCTTCATTACAATTAAGGCAAGATGGAGGTTGACTGCAAGATGTATTAGAATGGTCGTCGGCACCCAGACTGGGCATTCGGCCATAGAACTGCAAATTTCGCTGGGTGACCAAAAAGCCGCAATTTCTACATTGTTGCTGTGTAAAGGGATCACCTTTCGAACTTGTAACCGATGTCCCGCGACATATACAGAGGACGGGAGTTCTCCGGGGTTTTAAAGTTAAACGAGCCGCATTGCAAGGGTAACGTTCTCCGCCCCGGGCAGGAAGGACATAAGTGTCTACTTTTAGGATTGGGAGATCCTGGAGTTCCAGCTGTTTTTAAAATGTCATTGCCACATGACTGGAAATTCTGTTGGACTATGGTATGGGGCAGAATGACAGTACCACTACAAGAATTGAGAGAAAGATGTTTTTCAATAGTGATAGGAGTAGTATCGATATTCGAAAGGGGAAAAAAGATCATGAGGCTTGGGTAGCATTCTGGACAGTGGGCGATGCGCATATGCTCTTGAGCAGAAAGAAATATTCTACCAACATGACGCAGTGAGCGCTTTGCCAATACTATGGTCAGAAAGGGAGGCAGAAGAAGAAGCAGTCTTAAAGTAAAAATTTAGTCCATTGTGTGTTCCGAAACTGAGCGTGGAGAGGGAGTGCTTGACGTGTCGGTCTTTTCCGAGTAGAATGGGAAGGTAACGAAGGAGCATCATCAGGAGATTGACGTTGGCGTTTAGGAGTAGGACCGGAGTTGGTCCGGCGTGAAATGGGCGGGCGATTCGAAAATTGCCGTACCGTAGAGGGAGAAGCCGGAAGCATAGTCAAAGGAGAGCAGAGTTCAGACAAATCGAAGGAGTCAGTCGAAGCCCCGGTACCTGAAGCGGGTGAGGAAACAGCACCCCAAAAGGTACAGGGGCATCGGGTGTCCGAAGGTGGTCTAAACACAGGGGAGGGTCAGAATGGGGTGCGGTATCAAGAAGGGGCCCGGGGTTGTGGGTTCATGGACTAGGGCTGCCATGGTTAGGTTACTCCTTTGCTTTTTGTTTTTAAGAAAAAAAAAAGAAAGAAGAAAAGAAAATAAAAATAAAAAAAAGAATAAAAAAAGGGGGGAGCGGGGAGGAATAGTTCCCAGGAGGAATGAAATGGCCGGAAGAGGACCTCAGCACCGCTAGTAGCGCAGATGCAGCATGGAACCCTTGCCATACCCTACCCTTCATGCCAGTAAACTGGCAATCCGGGATAGCAACCTCACATCTGCCGAGCTACCTCGGTGGACAAAAGAGAGAGCGGCCGGATATCCGCCACAAAGCATACCTCCTTCGGCCACCACCCCCGGAATCCGAAAGGTGGCTTCCAGAGATACACCCGTCGCCCGAAAGACACCCAAAGCTACTCCGGGATACCGGAGAGGGATCAAGACATCCCCAGGCAATCCAGATTCCACGGCAAACTACGCCACCGCCAAGAACCTCAACGGAATGGGATGGACCCCGGTGTCCTTTCCCCTACCTAGGAACTAGCGCGCCTGTGGGAGAAATCCCAAAGGCCAAAAAGAGGAAGGGCAAAAGGGAGGGGTGAGGAGGAGGAGGAGGAATGGAAAAAGGGGAGGATGGGATAGGGGAGGGGAGAATGGGGGGTAATTAGGTTCGGTCTGAGGAAGAAGACCGACAGGGCTAATTCCTCAGACCAAGAGCCTCTTCACCGCGCCAAGGAGCCCCCCTTGAAGAGGTGTACATATCGTAGAATCACTGAATCACTGCAGAAGGCACATTCTCCCCTCTCTCTTTCTCCTCCACTTTGGTACAAGTTTTTTCTTGAATTCTATTGTTTCTTTCCTTCTTTACCAAAAGGCTGGCACTAGCTTTCTTCGGGCCCGTGGTGGCTTATTTAGCAGTTGCAAGCACACAAAACAGTGGATTATTATGAAATGTATTGTATGAACCCGTGGGGTGACAGTCACTCGCTGGTAAACAATGGCACACCAAGTGTGAATGGTGTGGGAGACTGGTTTGGTGCGCATGCTGACGGCGGACCTGTACCAGACGGTCACCAAATCACAAGGCTAATCACGAACTGTGAAGCTAAATTTTGGCAAAGAAAGTTGCAGAAAGTCGGATTTCACAAAAGCTGCGGCCGCCGATCGGTGGGGGTCCACTGTATATACAGCTAAATTTTTTAGGTATTAACCCCTCAGGTTCCAAGGCCCAAATCTGAAGTGGTGCCCCAGTGTCCAAGAATTTAAAAAAAAATTTTTTTTTGTTTTTTCTTATGAAATGGTAGAGAATCTTTTTGTGAAGGTAATAAAATAAAAAGTACGAAATTTGATGGAAAATTGACGAAATTATGTTCTCGCGAATTTTGATGTGTCAGCGATATTTACGAATCGGCGATTTTGCCGACTTTGACTCCCATTTTAGGCCAATTACATTATTCCAGTCAACCAAATTCTTAGCTATTTCACTAGTATTACTTCTATTCTATCGATTGAACACAAGAAATCGCCAAGTCAACTGTTTCAACTACAAATTAAAGTGATCGGAAATTGTTAATTTGGCCAATTTAACACAAAGTTCAAAATATTCCAATTTCAAAATAGGGTCCAGAATAAACAATGTAGGTATACTTGGAACTAAACTAACATTTCCTCTGTTCATTAGTTATGTTTTGAGGCTTTACAAATAAATTCCATTTTGATTTTTTATTCACATAATGAATTTTTATTCACACCAAAAAATAGAAGATTTACTGTTATGCAATACTGTAATAATTGTATAAATATCATCACCATATTTGTGAATGCATATTAGACCCACCAGCTGGCGTGTATTAGATGTGTGAGGTCATTTGTTTACTCTTGAATATCGGCAAAAATTTAACATTTCTGCTACTTTGAGCTCAGTTTCAAGCCATTTCCAGTGCTAAACCCAATCAAAATCATCTCTATTTCTGTAATATGTCTTCCATTCTATCAAATGAGACCACGAAATCGCAAATACAACTATAAAAAACATACGAAAAAACACTGCAAAGTCACTGTTTTAATCGAAAAATCATGATTTCAGTTTTTTTTCTCTCATTATACACAGTGTGCTGCAGGATCTGTTTTATGTGGTGCACACATACCACATAGATGTATTCTCTCATATCTAGGCCCAAATGTACCACTCAGTTTATCAGAGCGAGCTGAGCTCATGACGTAGATCTACGGGACAGACCCTGAAAGGGTTAATACAATATATAATACGAGTATAAATATTATTTCTTTGCATTTAAACTTTCGTGTAATATACAGTGTTAATTATCCTTTTCAGGTACGTCAAGTCTAGACTTTCGGTTATCCGTTCTACGGATCCTGGGATATTCCACTTGTGGCATCCTAAGGAATGCTCCACCTCTCTATCTGCTGACCAGTACCGTGCCTGCATCACCTCACGCGCCCTTAATGAGGCCTCACATGCTCACCTTGGCCTCATTGCCTTTAAAGATGATCTGGGGAAGCATCCCCTTGGAGCTGAAGCACTGACAGGCAGCAACACACTGGAAGAGCAGCAACTTAAAGCTGAAATGTAAGACAGGGATTTATATAACAGTTAAACCTGTAACCTGGAGTGAGTAGTTGCATACTGTATCTACGAATTTTAAAAGCCCCAAAGATAGTACAGTGTACTGTATTCTTTAAACTGAGGAATTAGAAACAGGGACTTCCATTAAATAATTATTGAAATGAGTTCAAAATTTAAGTTTATCAGTTACTTGGAGATAAAAATTCACTAATTTATACACGCACATCTGCTTTTAAGAATGTGGATAATGGCAAAAATCACAAGCTAATGATATAAAATTTAGGTACATAGTTCAAACAACAGCTTGGTTTAGTAATAAGATATTGCATTATACTAGTATTCATTTAACTGTTGTAATTCAGTCTTAGACCAGTATCTTGCCTTTCATATTTATGTGGGTGCCAATTTCTGCATAAGAAAATTAGTCAACATAGAATAAGTGACTTATATAAACTTAGGAAACCTCACGAATGTTAACAGGATAACCGAATATCACATTCTTATCTTAATTTCATGATTTTTTACAATTTTAGGAAATTACACTAGGTACACCATATAAAATGTTATGCACATCCTAAATTGTTACATTCAGCACAGGTCCAAATGCATTAACTGGAAATTAAGTTGATTATTAGAAACTTGAAACCATGTTGTGATCAGAGATGCATTTCTGAGCTACAGTATTCTACATCTAATCTCAGTTGTTTTATGGAATTACAAGACAGTACAGTACAGTGGACCCCCGCATAACGATCACCTCCGAATGCGACCAATTATGTAAGTGTATTTATGTAAGTACGTTTGTACGTTTATGTTTGGGGGTCTGAAATGGACTAATCTACTTCACAATATTCCTTATGGGAACAAATTCGGTCAGTACTGGCACCTGAACATACTTCTGGAGTGAAAAAATATCGTTAACCGGGGGTCCACTGTACTTGGAAGGTCCTGCCTCTGTCCCCCCCCCCCCTTTCCTCTGTCTCTCATCTGTTGTATCTGCCCCAACATATTTGCTTCCCCCCTCTTACTTCAACCCCTTTGTTGTACTCCACTACAACATCACCTCTACATTGTGCTTCAACACTCCCACAGTTCACTCCATTTCTCTACTTCTCTCCCCTATACTCTAACACCACACCAATCCCCATAATGTACTATGCTCAACACCACCCACTGAATTCTACTGCCTACAGTTGTACTATATAAACCCCCCCCCCCATACTGTACTCCTCCTCATGCCACTCCACCCATACTGTACTCTCATGCCACTCCACCCATACTGTACACTTCATGCCGCTCCACCCATACTATACTCCAACTCATGCTGCCTCATCCATACTGTACTCCACCTCGTGCCACATCCAATGCCACTTACTGTTATGCTAAGGGTATCAGGTGCCTGGACATGTAGTGAGATGAAGGTTAGTGCATGACCAAATTAGGAGAAAGGGAGGGTGGTGATGGTATAAATGGAATTGCTGCCTAGCCCAAATACAATTAGTAAAAATATATATATAAAAAATACAAAGCATTGGCCTTTTGGCTAAACTAAAATAAAAATAGCACATATTGTACTTCACCTCTTTATTGCACATCAACTCCCGCCTTCCTACACTACTCACTTATGTTGAGGGAATAAAGTGCCTTGACTTGTGGTGAGGTGAAGGTTGGGAAGGAAGGTGGTGGTGTACCCTTTGACCATATGCTACACATGGACAACTTCCAGCACACTATACCCATGCTGTACTCCAGCCCCCTTCCCATGCCACTCACTTATGGTGAGGGGATAAGGTACCTGGACGTACGGTGAGGTGAAGGCTGTTTACCCGAGGTGGGTGGTGGTGTAAGCATAGTTGCTATTTCACTCGCTGACCATGAAAATCTTCTGCCCAAAAAGAGAGACACACACATATATAGCTACACTTCTTGACCAATCTTTACCAATCAAATGTGAACCTAATACCTATGAATAATATTAAACAAACAAAATATCAGATATAAATGGCAAAAAAAAAAAAAAAATAATAAAATGCAATTGGTGAATAAATAGCAGCAGAGAAATGGCTGTTAATTGAAAATAATTTGTTTGAATATTCACAAAGATTGCAGATGCAGATCAGTATTTTGTAGGTCATTAATTGGTTCCAAAGTGCTGTCATAAGTGAGGAACATCCTCTTATATTATACAGCACTTGCAAAAAGTGGTTCTGTATTACAGTACTGCATTTAAAAATATTACTGTAATATTACCAAATGAAATACCAGTATATTATGAGATGGTAAACTAAAATTGAGAATACTAAAATGGTATGAGCAGTTTTAAATGCTGGATCAAATATTTATATTAAATATTTGAATAATGAGATCCATACTTACAATGTTTGTTCGGTGAGTCTTGGTTGGTAAGGTAAACAAACGTTTTCAAAGAAAATAATTAAGTTTTAGTAGTGTCAGTTGCCACTGGTAGTGGGGGCTTAAATTTTTTCTTTCGTTGGAGGTAGTTTGTTAATATCAGCAACAATAAGTGATTGATAGTGTATGACAGTACTTGCAAAGAACTGTGATTATATTTGTGGGAAAGTGTTAAGCCCATTGGAGTCATACACCTTAGGAATATGCAGCAAACAAGTTTGATCCAAGAAAGTAGAGGGTAGCTCAAATTCCATGGATCAAGAGTCCTAAACCAATAGGAATCATACAGCACCCAGGGAATGGGAAATAATCAACTTTGAATATGGGGAGGCATGCCCCTGCCCTTCAAGGTATAGTCAGTATGAACATGGATATACGTCCTTCATAAGCATGCGAGATGCCCTCTTGTGAGGGTACTGTATTTTAAAGTTAATGCATTTTTTTTTGTATTTAGTGGTATCATATACAGTATAAACTTCCCAGCTCATTTCTTTCAGAACTGGTATCAGCGAAGAGACGCCTTCAAACTTATATCGCAAAACTGTACCATCTCTATAAATTGCCCACAAAACTTCAGAAAAGTTAGACAAAATAAACCCCATCGTGTATACATGCACAATTCCTCCCAACCCCTCTCCCTGTTCTCCCTCTGGATATAGAATTTTAAGCTGCTCATAATGTAAGTGCTTTATTAGACATGCTCTTAAATCCTGTAGTTTTATCACGTTGACTAGTCATTCCGTTAGCCTAAGGATATAAATGTTGATTTCTTTTTCTTTACTGGATGTTTTAGCATGCAGTTTAAAACACATGGTCAAAGAAGACATGCTATCATTCAACTGTCAACTTCAGTTGATGACAAGTCTTTTTTTTTTTTTTTACAAACCGGCCGTATCCCACCAAGGCAGGGTGGCCCAAAAAGAAAAACGAAAGATGACAAGTTTTATTACCACATATTTTCTGTGATTCCTAATTTCTGGCATTAATGGAACTCATTCTTTTTTTTTTTCTACCATTCAGCTAAAGTAAAAATACTCTCTCAAGATAGGATGTCAAAATATTTGCATTAGTTAGACTTATTATACAATCTTAGTCTACTTTAATAGTTAACATATTTTTAGGAGCATCAAAACAATAAGCAAGCATTGCCCTGAGAACAAATTTTGCTGTACTCTTATTTGTTATAATGCAAACTAGAATTTGATAGTTTGTTTATACAGTACCAGTGAAAACTGTTATGAACCTTATTTCTAATTTGGATGCAAGTAATTCATCACTTATCCATTCAGGATTCATTTACATGGATATTGTACGTAGTGTTAACTGGATTATAATTATTGTAGTCGCACAAAAGTGCATTAAACACTGAGTACAGTGGACCCCCAACTTACAATATTAATCCGTTCCAGAGAGCACCTCGTAAGACGAAATTATCGTAAGTCTAATTAATTTTCCCCATAAGAAATAATGGAAATCAAATTCGTTCAAAACATCCAAAATTATGAAAAAAAAAAAAAAATTTTTACCACATGAAATATACATGTGGATACATGCACAATATATATATTGTGCATGTACTAGTGTACTAAATGAAGAATAAATGACACTTACCTTTATTGAAGATGTAGTGATGAGTGATGAGACACTGTGTCCTGGGAGTGCCTTTTCCTCCTGAGTAAAGTAGGTCCTGTTTGGCATTTTCTTCCAGAACAGGCCTTATCACACTGTATGCCACTGGAATTCTTAAATCTCTCAAACCAACCTTTGAGCACTAGTTCCAGGCATTTTTTCCTGTTCACTTGGGTGTTAGTCGTAAGTCGGGGTTCCACTGTATTATAATCATCAGCATTAGTCCCATTTTCTATATGTTGGATGGACAGGCAACTAACCAATAAAGACTGAAAGGTATTGTAGGAAAAAAAGGTTTAAATATAAAAAAAACTTCCAAAGATAACATGTTAATTAAAAAATGTTAAATGTTATCAGCAAGGGCAATTAGTTGCCCACTGTGTACAAACCAGACCAGTATTATGGTTTGACCCATTGCTTGACCTGCAGTCAGTACCACAAATTGCGGTATGGCACTTCCTAGGTTTATTTCCCCTTGGATGGATATTTGTGGACCAGTTGGATTGTTACAAACCAGTAGGGATATACTGTACTGTACTTATATTGAAGAAACCCCTCAAGGAAGATGCTCTTGATCCAAATGAGGGGGGAGGACTCTTGGTCCAATAAACTGAACATACCCTCCTCCTCTTTGGATTGAATCTGAATGTCTCCCATTTCCTAGGCATTGTGTGACCCCTTACAAATCAGGACACACTCCTGCTTAACATACAATAATTTCCTTTTTATTTTGTGGCATAAAAGATGCACTAGAATTTGTGTGTAATATACTATATTCATTCATTCTCAAATTGTTTGGATTGTTTAAGCAGGGGTATACAGAGATCCCAAGCCTGACCTTTACCATGTAACATGCAGGTCGATTTTGAGGGTCAAATTGTGAAGAAACACGTGCATCTTACATACCACATAGTATGCATCTTACATGCCACATAGTATGGTAATACTGCCTCAGTGAGACTCTAACCCTGGGCTATTAGGATGTTAAGCCAGTACATATACCACTTTCATGATAGTTTCTAAACTTTGTATATCAAAGGTAACAAATCCTATTTTTCAACAAATAACTGCATGTTCCTTAATCCTGATTACTACTTCTTTCATGAGGCAGTATTATACCCTTGTCACACCACTGTGCTTAGGAAATGGAAGGGGCAAGGTAATACCTTGATCCAAAGGAGGGAGGGTAGCTCCAAGAGCCCCCCCTCTGTATTAAATTGGACATTCATGTTTTATCTTTCCATAATATTAATATACTGCATGTTGCACTGTTCTCTTCTAACCTTAAACTTGATTTTTTTTTTTTTTTACTTTTGCCACATTATTTGAGGGCTGCTACTTAGTTGTGTGCCCTATGCTATCCCTGTGAACATTATCGAAAAAAAATTACACGAATCACATAATGGGTCTTTATCAACTCGCATTTAATAAAAGTGAAAGGGGATGGATTTGAGAGAGACTTGCCAGCAGGCCTACTGCAATGCTGCTGTTATTATTTTTGGATGTTACTAGTCAGATTAAAATATATTGTTCATGAAGCCTGGTCATGGAACGGACTGCGGGGGCGTTGACCCAGAAAACACCCTCTAGGTATATCTAGACGCAGTACTATATATATGGGATAGTCTCAGAGATTTCAGATATCAGTAAAGTCATTCAGTGTGTAGATTACATTAGCTTCATAGTGTTTATCTACTTGAAGTGTGTGGATACAATCTCAGGATTTCATATATCATAAACCCCACAAACTGTTTTCTTTCCCACTTGGTGTAGCTTGAGCAAATTTGTAACTTGTTAAATACACATCTCGGATATTTAAAGCCCAGATTGCTACGCTTCTCTTCGCTGTATAGCCCTTGTGGCTTAGCGCTTCTTTTTGATTATAATAATAATAATACGCTTCTCTTGTCGATTTCATACTACTGACTAAATCTGTCATATACTGTGGCAATGAAACATGATTTTAATCATCTCCAGGGAAGGTTCGTTTTGTTCAAACCTGGATACTTTAATACAGATTGCAGTTTCTCTTAATTGAATTTGAGGATCTGTTACACTGATTTTCCTGCAGCAGAATTGTAAATGGTACTGGCTTACAATTTATACTTCACATTAATTTATTATTAAATTCATAGGGAAGAGTGTAAACCATAAGGGTCATACAGCATCTTGTGAATGGGAGGCAATCAGATTTGAGAAAGGTATAGAAGTTCCTACTCTGTATCAAACACCCCTAACCATCAATAAGTAATTTGACTTGTCTTACCGTCATTACTGCAGGTGCTGTACAGTCCCTATGAATTTAGTGTTGAAAAAGAGTATGTATATATTATATGCTGTATATGTAATTTATGTATTTATTCATCAGCATCAAAGTTTCTCATTGAAAAGCCTCTCATTAATAGAGAACAAATTTTAGAATAAATGTGTATTATTATTTACTATAATCAAAAAGAAGCGCTAAGCCACAAGGGCTATACAGCAATAAATGTGTAATAATACAAATTATTAAGTCTATTTAAAGATTTTTCTCCACGTAAGTATTAATTTGACACTAACATTTTGAAAGGGGGGGGGGCAATTTGTTTTACCCAAAAATTAGCTAATAAGACCTAGTTTATCATGCAAATATTTTAATTTCATAAACCACTAAACCCATAAGAGTTCATGAAAATGCTAGAGCATAATATTATATTATACTCTTAGGGAGTGCTAAACCTGTGAAGTCATTCAGTGCTGCATGTTAAAACAAAAATTTAACATTTGCATTTAGCAGGTCTTCATAATATAATTTTTTCAAATCAGAAAAAGGTGATAATTATTTAAGGATTACGTTTCCCGATATAGTAAATTATAAATGTTTTGCTTCAGATGAGTACAATCAAAATAGCTTTGTTTTGATAATTAATCTTTGTTAAATATTATCATGTAGAAAGTATACTGTAACAACCAGTTTAGATCACAGCTCTAGGAAATGGCTTTTAATGTTTTTTTTTTTTTAAGTGAACGAGAAATATTTTTAAATGCAGTCATGATTAAAAGTTTGTTCTGGTCTAATTATCAATTATGTTCAAAAACTACCTTTCCCTTTGGGATGGTGAGGGCCATCAAACTAGCAAATAGATGAATTTTAGTGATTACCTATAGTGTTGCACTAATGATGGTATCAAGAGGTCAGACTAGAATTCTAGCCAAGAAAGCCCTTACTATGTGATCAGATATTCTTGTCTTCCATAGGCTACTCTTGTCAAATGCAGCAACATTGGCAGGTTACTGTTAAGGATTTCATCTTCAGATTACTTCCCATATTATACTGTTAAGGATTTTCATCTTCAGACTACTTGCCATATTAAATGGGCAGCCTTTGGCCCACACTGAGGACACACATCAGAGTTCAAATATATTTTCTTGGTGTAATACTGTTAATTTACTTGAGCATACTATAGCCATTTTAGGTGTGTTCTCTGCCAGATATATATGAGCACATATAGTCACAAGATAGTGTACACTTACATTGTCTGCCCAAGCAACTTGACACTAAACACCAGAAATGTTTTAGTAACATTTGAACATGGTTTATAGTATATAATTACCACAAGTGTGCCTCTTAAGTATGGCTCTTCACATGTAATATTTAACCTGCAGAGACACTTTTCTTGTAGGTCTGTACTAGTAAATGAATCCATTCCATCATATTAATGGTATACAGTACCACCAAGATAAGTAAGACATGTGCATCACTTTGGTATCTTTATTGGTGAAATGTTTTTCCTGGACAGCAGGCCTCATCACTCTAATACACAGGCTGTGGGGACTGCTTAAGTCAAACTACCTCCACTTCTGCCGTCTCCAGTATTGTAATCACGTTGGTATCCAACTGAACCCTGTTGTACAGGTGAAACATTTCATCAACAAAAGTACGTAAGTATTGCATGTCTTATGAATCCATTCCAGTTGAGCAGATGATTTTCTTTATGAAATGTATATATTGGATGATATATGTACTATGGTGAAGTTTGTTGTCTGTAATATAATGTACTAATTTATTTGGAAATGTTTGTAAATTGCTTTGGTAAATTTTAAAAATGACAATAATAAGTGTTTAAAAAAGTTTTGTTTTAATTCTGTTCCACCAACATTCTGCCCAAGAAAGGATAAGGGCTGTATTTAACTCTTTCACTGTCCAGACCCTTGAAATTAAATTTACTTTAAACTGTCCACATTTTAAAAAACAAATCTCTTGACCTCGTCACTCCTCCAATTGCTCCTTTTCATTGCCACACACTCCCTTCTATATCCACAAACTTCTTTGGCTTAGCACTTCTTTTTGATTATAATAATAATAATCCACAAACTTCTGCTGCATTAACACTAATTCTTAAATCTACCCCATACCTCTTCAACCTCCTCATTACATGTACTTATACTCTCTCTCTAGCTCTTCTCTCTCCAAACAGTTGCTTATATCTTACCCTATCTCCTTTAATTTATAAACTTTTCACCTTTCTTTTACTCACTAATATTCTCTTTGTACCTCATCTACCTCTTACTCTCACTGTAGCTACAATTACATAATGATCTGATCGAGTTGTTGCTCCTCTGAAAACATGCACATTCAGAAGTCTGTCCATCAACCTTTTATCTACTAATAGATACTGCTGTCATTATGTCTTATCATACTTCATGCACTTATCCTCTTTTTCTTAGAATGCATATTACCTTTTACCAAGCCTTTTTCTATACAAAGTTCAATTAAAGGCTATCATCATTATTTACCCCTGGCACCCCAAACTACCTACAACAGTTTCTCCCAATAGCATTTAGGTCCTCCACAGCAACTGCTCTTACCTGGTTCAAAACTGCATAAACACTAGCTCAACCTCTTTCAAGATCTCTCTCTCTCTCCCCTCTACACCCACCTCCTCCCCAGGTGCATAAACACTTAATATGACTCACTTTTTGCTTCCAACCCTTATTTTAATGCACATAATCCTTGCATTTATATGTACATTTATATTCCCTCTTTTCCTTTCATAACTAATCATTTAACATTACTACAACTACTTTCTTGGTCTTACAAAATAAGTATACTTGGAGGGTGTTTCGGGTGTAAACGCCCTCTGCAGCCCAATCCATGACCAGGCCTCAGGGTGTATCAGGGCCTGATCATCCAGGCTGTTATTGCTAGCTGCACAAACTGGCATACAAACCACAGCCTGGCTGGTGAGGAACTGACTAGGTGCTTGTCCAGCTCCCTCTTGAAGACAGCCAGGGGTCTATTGATAATCCCCCTTTTGTATGCTGGGAAGTTGTTGAACAATCTTGGGGCCCCTGACACTTACTGTGTTGTCTCTTAGCATACTCATGGTGCCCCAGCTTTTCATTGGGGGGATGTTGCACTGCCTGCCAAGTTTTTGCTTTCGTAGGGAGTGATTTGCATGTGCAGACTGGGGGCTAGTCCCTCTAGGATTTTCCAAATGTATATTATCATGTATCTTTCTTGCCTACATTCCAAGGAGTACAGGTCAAGGGACTTCAACTGTTTCCAGTAATTTAGGTGCTTTATTGTACTTGTATGTGCAGTGAAAGTTCTCTGTATATTCTCCAGGTCTGCAATTTCACCTGCCTTGAAAGGGGCCATTAGTGTGCAGCAATATTCCAGCTTAGAACAAGTGATTTGAAGAGAATCATCATTGGTTTACTATCCCTAGTTTTGAAGGTTCTCATTATCCATCCTATCATTTTCCTAGCAGATGTGGTAGAGACATTGTTATGATTTTAGAAAGTGAGATTCTCAAACATTATTACTTCCACGTCCTTCACATTACTTTTTTTCTCTATTGTATAGTTATTACTTGTATACTCTGATCCAGCTTATATTTCCTTGATTTTTCCATACCAAAGCAGTTGAAATTTGTCTTCATTGAACTTCAGATTGTTTTCTGAGGCCCATTTAATGACTTGGTTTATGTCCGCTTGGAGATTTGAAGTGTCCACAATTGATGACACTGCCATGCAAATTCTGGTATCGTCAGCAAAGGACACAGTGCTGTGGCTTACATCTCTATGTCAGATATGAGGATGAGGAAAAGGATGGGAGAGAGTACTGTACCTTGTGAAACAGAGCTTTCTACTGTAGCCGCCTCTGACTCTACTCTGTTTACTATTACTTTTTGTGTAATTGCAATCTTAAAGAACAGCTGGTCTTACAAAAATACAGTGGACCCCCTGACTTATGATCAGGTCCCAACTCGAACAATTATGTAAGTGTATTTTTGTAAGTGTATTTTTGGGGGTCTGAAACGGACTAATCTAATTTACAATATTCCTTATGGGAGCTAATTCGTTCGGTAACGGCACTCGAACAGTCTTCTGAAACGAATTAATATCATAAGTCGGGGGTCCACTGTAGTAGCTTAAACACATTTTACCTTACACAAATACTGTACTCCTACAAAAGTAGATAATCTTACAAAAAAAATAGCCCCTTCAAGGGAAGAGTATATTGGTGCCAAAAGCCTCTTGATCTAAGAGAGTAAGGTTTAGCTTCTTTCCTCATGTTAAGCCTGATTTCCTCCTATTCAACAGAAGCTATCTATATGATCCCAGTGGGTTCAGCACTTCCCAATAAATAGATGAATATAACAACAGCAGCATTTTCTTACACAAACTGCAATCTTTCAAAAACAGCAGTATTAAAAAGTCATCTACTGAAAACAGTTGAAATTTTAAAGAAAAGCAACTAGTATTACTGTATAATAAAAACAAGCATTAAACACATGAGTTATGCAGTGCTACAGTGTGGGATGTGTCAGGATAGCAGTTAGTGAAGTTGGGAGTTAGTGTGGGTGCAAAAATGTTGAGGTTGGTGCACTAAGTTAGTCTGTTAGAGTGAAGCTGCATTGAAGGTGGGACCTTTGGAGAGGTAAGCTCATTGGTGTTACAGATGTCTAAGGTGAATTCTGTATGTTGTCTGATAGATAAGAGACTATTAGGGAATGGAGAAGTGACTTACCTTTCAGTCTTTGCAGAAGTGTGCTGGCATCTTTCTGTGGTATCTTTATGTGATTCATTCTGATGTGGAATATTACATCATCTGCATTACATTACATACTAAAACTTGGGCACGTCAAGCTCCTGCAAGAATTCAGGATAAATAATGGAATTAGCAACATTGAGTAGAATCTTGATTGCAAGATTCCTTCTCCTCAGGTAAAACTGAAATTCAGGAATAAAATGATGCCCATGACAGTCAATAAACAAGGCTTCAGTCATTTATGCTGTGCTGCAGAAAATTCCCCACTCACCACCACTTATGTAGCTGACTGTGCACTCTAAAACAATTAAACCACTATGACTAATGGAACACTTCTCCAAGTTTTCCATCCTGCTCACAGTTTTATAGTACAATGGGGCTTTCCCATGGATGATAGGAAATAAGAAGCTTTTTTTTTCTGCAGAATTCATTGGTTCTGCATTTTTTCAGTCTTATTTAGCCATACTGACCACTATCCCATTTTTCAACAGGTCACTGTCTGGGTTACTCATAAGGCAAGCTCTTATCTCTCTGTCTGGAATTGAATGAACTGTTGAATTCTCTCTCACCAGAGGCATGGACAGCCTCCATCACACATGCACCACCTTTAAGCTTGTCTATCACTTCAATTTCCTCAAAGACATTGTTTCAGGATTAAACATTTTGGCACATTCACCAACACTAGATTTCCTCTCTTCATGTCATGATTAATATTCTGATACGAGGTGAACTAATAAAAAAAATAGGAAATGGAATAATAACACAGGAGAGAGTAATTACATGGTACATGTCCATGAGGCAAATAGTAGTTGGCAGAGGAGGGGGGGAGGGTCAACACCAGTGACACTAGGTCTACCATAAAACAAAAGAGGCCTAACCTGTGTGGGAGAAGAAATATCCTGCAAACTCCAGTGCAACAGATGGCCACTTACCAGTGAAATAAGGTGTCCTGTGGCTTGATTGGCAATGCACTCGGCTCGTGTACTGAGTGTCCGTAGTTCGATTTATGACACGAGTGGAAACGTTGCATACATTTCCTTTACACCTGCTGCCCCTGTTCACCTAGCAGTGTTGGTATCTGGGTGTTAGTAATAATATTAGAATTACCAACAATTTGTTAGGTAAAAGGAAACATGCAACTAATGTGACTTTTGTTGTGGCAATGTTTTGCTTTCCAAGAGCTTCATCAAGCCATTACAAACAATACAAGGATCCTCTGTGTACTTGTATTGTTTGTAAAAGCTTGATAAAGCTCCTGGAGAGTGAAACATAGACACAAAATATCACACTAGTTGCACACGCCTTTACCTAACACCTAGGTGTTAGTTGACTGTTGTGGGTTACATTCCAGGGAATGATAGTATACTCTAGAGGGCCAGGCTTTAAAACAAGCAAAGGTACGATAACAGCTCTTAACCTGTAAGACCAATGTGCAAAAAAATTAAAATTAGGTGCAAAAAAGTGAATCGCAAAGTGACATAAATGCAGTAGCTGGATGCATGGTAGCAGGTGGCATACTGTATTTCCCATGGAGGACAATAAAGAGTACCTCAAGAGAGTAGTGGCATAAAAGTAACTGGTAGGTAATGAAATAGGAGGGGCTCTGGTTTTCATTTTCCCACTACTTGTCTTGTATGGAATACCTGTGTAGGGAATGGTAAGCCCATAATTTATCCGACCCCCTACCTAATGTCTGGGGAGTCAACTGTCCAGTTAATTGCCAGACCCAAGGTGCTCAACCTGACTCATGAAACACCACACATGAATCCCACCAATCTACAAAAATTTCATGTACTATTATCAAAAGTCAAAGGAAAGGTACAGTAACATACATATATATAGTATAAAAACATATAATTCTTCAGCATGATACGGTATTTAGGTTTTTTATTTACATACAAATATTATATCTTATAAGTGATTATGAAAGCCCAAAAGCAAATATACTGCTGCCTATAGCAGCAAGAGAATTTTCTCACACTTGCTAGATCTCAATACAGTACTCTCAACTAATGCAACCTAATTATTGAACTCTCTATTATGCTTATATTTATACCAGGTATCCTAAAAGTAAATGAACTGAAAATATTCTGAATGCAAACTTAAATATACATGAATTGTCATACTATACAATAATTCTAATCCATGGGAACAAGTCAGAATCATGAGTCGCCCATCTCTGCATCTACCCAGCTGTAGACCTGCCCCATCAATCTTTATGTTTCTCTTATTATCTATCAATAATGAAGCAATACTGTATGCTTTGTTTCTATCTTACTAACTGAATAAAATACACTTTTTCTTTTTTAGATTATAGATCTTGCAGATACATCTTTTTTATAATGGATAGAGATGATACATACCGAATTTAATGTTTATATTTTTGTTGTAATCTAATGAAATACCGGAAAACATGCTATCAACTGTGTGTGGCTGCTGTCATCCTCTTCTTGTTGCATATGTTTGCCTTTAACTGATGAACTAAGAAAAGAATTACCATGACCTTGATTTTCTATAGTTTATCATACATAATATTTTATTTCTAATATAAATTCATAGAATACACTAAGAGTTTCTGATAAAATGTGTGATTTCCAAGACAAAAGTTTTGTGCCTTGGTTGCTAATACAACTGCAGCATTTTTCCTATTAAAAGTTCTTGGCCCATATTTAACCTGTAAATGGTCCAAACGTATATATACGTTTTTTCGACATTTGAAAGTATGTAAAAAAAAGTAATCTTTTTGTTTTTTTTACATTTGAAAATGTGTAAAAAAAACTTTGATCTACTTTTTTTTTGTTATATTTGAAAATATGTAAAAAAAAATGTAGATTACTTTTGCAGCACTACACATGTGAACATAGATCTGCTTGGACCGTTTACGGGTTAAGTGTGTACTGTTGAATATGTAAATGTCACAGTATTACTTTCTCAAATATAGTTAAACTGGCCCACAGAAAGTTAAACTGTCCTATGTAACTTTAGCATAACAACCTGTTCTTGGTAGAATTTGAAATAGGTATTTACCTTCTAAATTTATACTTCTACTACTGTAAATGTTCAGTCACAATTAACATTCACAGACAACTAAAGAACAACTAATATTTAATGAAAATGAATAATCATAAAAGAATCTGAACTAAAGTCCTTATTTATAAACTAGTAGCCAGAATACATTTTGCAGTAACACTGTATACATCTCCCCAAACTGAAATGATACACACCACATCTATACAGTAGTACATATCAAGATCAAGTCATAGTTGTTGGAGGGTGGTGTAATCACCATGCTTCAGTAGGCTACATATTAATGTATATAAACTCTGTACACTGTAGATGTGCATCTGAATGCGATTTTCTTACAGCATAACCAAATTTAAATATTGTGACGTAACTGTGCACTGCACTCTAATTATTGAATAGCACACTATAAATTTATGGGAATATGTGGCATACTGTAGGATCTTTCCCCTCCATCTGGCAGCCAGCCTACAACCAATTTTTTTTTTATGCAGGCATACTCCTTTAATAACTTCCTACACTGCCAGTTCTCACTGCATATGCATCCCATACCACAATCTTATGTTAATTGATTTTTTTTTACCTTTTCATCAGTCCATCTTGTCTTTGAATATTAATAATGACAACCATGAAAAATACTAGCGCTGCTGGAGTTATCAAGAAGGAAATTAAGCTTAAAATTCTGGCAGTTTCAAAGAAAACTGAGGCATTGGAAGTATGAAGGTGGGAGGAGGCAAAGGCTAGTAGCCCATAATTATACAATCCTGTACCTTTAATAATCATTTACCTACCTTTGCTGTATTATACAATTGCTGAATATGTTAGTGATTGGTACTGAAGTGTGAAAAAGTTATTAAATGAAAAATCTGTGTAGTGGAGTTATAATAATCACTAGCACAGCAGGTGTTGTTGTTGTGCTGGGTGTTATGAAGACCACCCCACCACAGTAGAGCCATACTGAGCCTGCCCATTATTTTAGGTAATATTTTACAGCATTTTTTTGGAGGTCTAGAACATAACCCAATTTTTCCCACGTGTTCTTCAATATGTTCATCACGATTTGTGTAACATGTTCAGTAACGTAAGAACAGCAAAGAGAAAAGGGTGACAAATTAAAAAGTAGAAATTTTGTATTAAGATTTTCACATGAGAAAACAAATTGCCTGATACTGTATATGGGCTGGTGAACCTGTTCCATATTAATCAATTTGATCCCACTTAAGGAATTAAATCATAGTTAACCATATGTATGCTTTACTCTATGCAAAATAAGGCTTGTCAAAAGGCATCAGGCCAAAGCCCACAGGGGCCATGACTAGAGGAAACTATAAATGACTGGTGGGTTGTCTGGGAGAGGAACACTATAATAATAATATTTGCAATATAATTAACCCAGAGAAAACCAATAACAAAGCTCACAAAAGAATATTTACTGCCATGCAATTTAATATTGGCATGACAATTCTAACTGCCTTTCTTTCAAACTTACACTAGCTGTATGAACTGCACACAAAAAACAAAATTAAAATTTGTGGTAAGTGCTCATAATGCAAGAAAAAAATGAAATCCTAACCACTACAGCTGGCAAAATATCATTAAAACAAGGCCCTGAAGAACAACCAAGTCTCAGGGTTTATCTTACAATGTTGATGAATTATAGACAAAATATGACAAACCTTTCACTATGTGTACAATATTTTATATTTTAACAAACATGATAAAATTTCTATGCTGTAGTATTTATGAAAAGGTAGGCTCACTTAAAAATTAATTTAACTGAAAAGAGATTAGAAACAAATGGAAATATACATGGGATATGAATAATATAATGTGCTAATTTTCAATGAGGTAGGAAAAGGATTATTACATGAATAAAAAATGTATACAGTAGATCCCCAACTAACAATTGTAATTCCTGGCTGAAATTGTTGGAAAGTCAACTGTTCAAATTAGAGATGCATTAATATTGCCGTAATATTCCATATGTAATATAATCTATATATTTTTTTCATTTTTGCCTATTTTTTTTTTTTTTTTGCATTCAGTCACTAATCTTTTTTTACTTACAACACAGGAGTGATAAGGGTGGCATTTGAGGCCCTCTAATATTTCTCATCTACATCAATGACCTTCCTAATACCTCTAGGGAGCTTAAACCAGTTATATTTGCAGATAACACACTTGTTGTCATCTCAAATTTAGATTTAATTGTCTTGAACAACACTGTTAATGACAAGCTTGTATATTATCTACTTCCACAACACTCAACAAACTCTCACTCAATAATGAGACATTCTACATAGTGCTTGGGAATAAAGGTAAAGAAGACTCAACTGAACATAAGAATTAATAATGTACATATTGAAAGACAAGGTGAAGGAAGATTCTTAGTTTTACACCCTGACAGGAAACTTAAAATTCAATGCTCACATCCAGCATATATCTAACATACAAAACAGTAAGCATTCATTCAAAAATGTTATTATGTACCTCAAACATTATTACTGACTCAGTACTACTACATAATATATCTTTATCTCACTTAGGGTATATGTGTACAGGAATCTATAAATCACCTATAACCCATCGTGACTAATCAGAAGTCAGCTAATTGAATGAACACTCATTCAGGTTTCACACAATAACACCCATCCACTATTTAGATTTGCTAAACAAGCAAAGCATCCACATTTACTACTGTGCATATTATGTACAGGTACAACACTAATTTTCCGGCAACCTTTACTACTGTGCACATTGTGTACAGGTACGATGCCGATTTTCCGGCAACCTTGGCACCTAAGCCTTGTCGGAATATTGATTTTGCTGCATCAACAGAGGTCATGTAGAAATAATTCAAAAAGTCACTTCTGACCCACTAATTATACACCTCCCATGTTTTTAAAATACCATGAACTGCTAGAAACTTTAATTAAGCATTAGTATCAATGAAAAAAGTTTATTAATTATATACACTGTACTTACAAAGAATGTTGCAGCATTACTGCTCCTGAAGTGGTAAATCTTATAATTTTCCTGGAACTGTAGAGGTAATCATAGAGAGCTGGAAGTTAAGTTCGTCAAGATTACTATCTGTTTCTGAGACAACTGTTTCATCATGGATTTGTGATGTTGCAGGGGAGGACGTGGAATGCATGAAGTTGAGGCCACAGGATTTTCAGATGAAGGCTTACTGCTATTACACATTCTTCTTGGTTATCTTTCTAAACATTCCATCCAAGCAAAGGTGTTTCATGTGCTTTGAACTTTTCATGCAGTTTATCATGCATCAAACAAAAATCATTAGGTCTTGTTCTGTCATGGAGGAACACTGTTTTATCCCTTTAATTAATTCACTTGACTACTCTTATTAACTTATCAATAGTAAATCTTTCCAATACCTTAGATATCACACAACTTCCAGATAGAAATGCCATGGTCCATTTTTTTATGAGTTCTATGTTTTCTTGTATTGCTATGAACTGGTGTTTATGACTGACACCACCAGTGATACTTGCATCTTTCTTAGAAGCCACAGATAAGGTTAAATATTACAAATCACAATAAGAATTGTATAAAATCAAGGGATTAGCACCAAACTACAGTGTCAACAAATATCAGTGAATGAGCGCTGCACACAATGCCATCTGTGGCCACCCTCGTAATTTTGTCTGGACTAAAAAACGTGCCAGACCATCCATTGCCAGAAAACCAGTGTTGTATCCATATATAAGACACTTAGTAAAAATATAATCAATAGTTCTAAAGTTTTTCATAGACAGCTACAAAATAATGCTTATACACAGTACCATCAAGTACCAAATACATCTTTGATATCCCATGTGTTCAACTCAACTATGTAAAAACTCCATGCAAATAAAAGGCTCAAAAAATGGAATGCTCAACTAGAAGATTAAAAAGTCCAATATTGGCCAAATGCCTCAAAAATATGGCTAAAAAATACATCCTGAACCTGATGTAAAAATATTATTTTTTTTTATTATCACACTGGCCGATTCCCACCAAGGCAGGGTGGCCCGAAAAAGAAAAACTTTCACCATCATTCACTCCATCACTGTCTTGCCAGAAGGGTGCTTTACACTACAGTTTTTAAACTGCAACATTAAACACTGCATGAAACACTGCATATCTAATGCAACCTGCCTATCCAGATTCCAATTAGCATTAATACTGATGTACTTCTCTTTCCACTATATTTCTACAACTAAAATTTATTATTATTTCTTCATATTAACACTGATGTATAGATAAATAAAGTTTTTGTTACTTAAAATAATCATAACATTTAGTAATATTATCTTCAGACAATTATGTTTAACTTAGCATTTAAATAATCTAATTTAAGTATCAAGTAGTTTAAAGGTGTAGTTGCAGTAGGCCCAATAGCTTAGCATAATTATGGGCTTTTCCAGGTAAGAAACAATGAAAACTAATCTCTGTAATACAAATGCATATCTTCCTCAAAACAAACATTCATTTTTTTTTAACATACCAGCCATCTCCCACTGAGGTAGGGCAACCCCCCCCCCCAAAAAAAAGAGAGGAAACATTCACCATCAATCATTCAAGCACTGTCTTGCCAGAAGCATGCTGACACCACAGTTCAGATGACCCTCTGACTGCAACATCCTCACCCCTCCTTCAGAGTGCACATGCGCTGTACTTCCCAGCTCAAGTCTGGCTAACAAGTTTCCCTTAATTCCTTTATGAATGTTACCTTACTCATATTCCAACAGTACTTCAGGTTGCAAAATTCACCTGCCCCCAGTCTGATCTAACTTGCTCACATACGCCTGTTGGATGTTTAAGCTCCTAAGATTCAAAACCTTCTCTATTATTAATGTTAGTTTTTTATTTACCTCAACAGCTAAGTCCCACCAAGGCAGGGTGACCCAAAGAAGGAAACACATTTAACACTATTCACTTATCACTGTGTTTCTGGAGGTGTGCTGACATCACACAATTCGGATTACACTCCACACTACAACATCCTCACCTCTCCTTCAGAGTGCAGGCACTGTACGTCAAAAGAACTTGCCCATATTTACTCCTAAGACACTTGCACAAGCCTGCTTGATGCTCAAATTATTATAGGTAATATTAACGAATCGTAAATAGTCCAATACATCAGAAAAGCACGTCTGTTTCTGTAAGTCGCTGATTTCTAAAGCGCCAATGTCATAAAAGTGGTACATGTTAAGTTGGATCATCATAAACTGGGGATCTACTGTATACTGTTCTAATCATTCTTAATGCCTATCAATACTTTAAACAAAGAAAAGTATAACAAGCACACAAAATGAAGAACTATTTCTCCACATGTATTATATGTTATATACTGGTTACAATGCATCAAGGTTTATTTTACATGGGCAATGCCCAATTTTGGTTTCCATACCTTACAAAGAGTATATCTGAAACACTAAAGACCCACAAGTGTTTAGTGCTTTTGTAAACATAATACAGGTTAACCATTACTAATCCGGCATCACTGGGACCTGTAGGGTGCTGGATTAGTGATTACTGGATCAGTGATGGCCGACCTATACCACTACACCTCTGCTGTCCATCTGTATTGCCAAAATTAGTGCTGTATTAGTGATGGAACCAGATTAGCGATTGCCAGATCAGTGATGGCCGACCTATACCACTACACCTCTGCTGTCCATCTGCATTGCCAAAATTAGTGCTGTATAAGTGATGGAACTAGATTAGTGATTGCCAGATCAGTGATGGCCGACCTGTATTAATGTTTTAGTCTAGTTGTAGAGAGATGTAATTCAGTAATCTACATTCTTTAATGTAATAATGCTTCTGCATAAAAACTTTACTTTTCTTCTAAATTTATCAACACAAAAGCATTATGATACAAATGAATGACATATTATTCAGATATTTTACTATAACTTGGGAAAAAAAAGTGTTAATTGAGCATGCCAAAAATTTTTGCAACATATAATATTCCATATACTGTATTAGTGGAAAAAAAAATAGTTTGGAAAAAATTCTGGGGTATGGAAGGCTTCTTGATACTGTATATGGTTAACTTATGTTACCAACTGAGTGAAGGACTTGGGCAAGGACTGAGGGAAAATTTCTCCTGGACAAAAGTCAAGGAAACTGCACAATGTCTTTATGTAAACACTGGCCCTTGGTAAATGTAAGGAAATGACATGTAAAGACTGCCATAGAGAGGCAACAAAATACAAATACAAACAGCCATTACAAAATGTCAGTTTGTTACACTACAGTTCACAAACATCTCTGGTAGGCAGCACTCCCAGTCTGAGCTGAAATGTTATCTTAATAAAACTATTATTATTATTACAATCAAATCTATGCACTAAACCCACAAGGGTCATCCAGCACTGCTTAATAAAACTATTAGTACCCAGATATTGAAGTGATGGGAGCAAACATTACTCTAAAATCATAATAAAATAACATTACTAATATAATAAGGTGCTTCCACAGATTACTAAACACAAATTAAAATATTAAATACAAATTTTGTGATTACAAGCACTTCCTACATGGATCAACTCCTTAATTACATTAGTCCTAACATATAAAAACAATTGATTGATGTAATGATTATATCCAGGATACATGGGATAATGCAGTTGCAAAATACAAAAAACCTCTATCATCAATTTATTAACTCCAGTAGAAATGGATGTTTAAATCAGATACCAATAATAGTTGGTAAAAAAAAATTACTGAGTACTTTAATACAATATTCCTCCGGTAAAAAAAAGGACACTTGCTAAGTAATACGATATGAACAGTAAGGTACACAACATTTTACCTCCTAAATGTACACACTGCAACAATGATCTTCCACCCAGACACAAAGAAAAAATGACATTTTAACGTAAGATGCAGTAACATAACTGTCATCCTTGCAGCATGCAGCATATATACAGAGCAGCAGCTGAGGCAATGCTCACAGTAAGGTTAAAAACAGCTTAACTCTAGTAAAAAATGCCTCCAAACACTATTAATGCCAGCAAAAAAAAAAAAACTATTATTTTTTTCAAATTTTAAACTAGGTTTTTGTATAGTGACTTGTGAAGTTTCATGACTCACTAGCCATGGGTTCAAGCCCCACCCATTCCATGGTTTGGTAGTTTTTTTGTATTTTTTATATACTGTACTGTACAGAAATACTATATTGTTTTAAGGCATTTTTGTTTGGCCATAGTCAAGATGTCAAGTTCCGATACTATTGGTAATGCCTTGCTGCAACAGTTAATATATACATTAAAACTATCATTTCAAGAACAAGAATCACACATTCTGATTGGATATACTGTGAGTTACTATATTAATGCCTCTGTTGACACAGCCTAGCTCTGAACTTTATTCAAACACCTACGTCTACTTCTACAACTTTCTTTATGCAACATTTGCATATTGCACAATACACATTTGATCCATAGCTGCATGTTTTCTAGTACCTCATATAGCAATATATTTTTAATACAACTGAATTCATTCCAATAAGTCAACAGCTGAAGGCATCAAATGAAGCTTAATTACTAACAACACATCACACTGTCAAATGAAATCACAGATTTTTTGCTTTGAAAATGATGTTTCAAGATACAAATAAACCAGCCATTCTTGCATGGGCATCAACACAGACAAACCCAGCACTCACCACCACCTTTTAATAATGCCTAAGAGAAAAAAGATCAAAGTTAAAAGACAAAATAGAATCAGTAAATGAACAAACAAGTAATGTCTATTATGTTGGTTGGACTCCATCTGAACACTGGAAAATCAGTGTCCAAATACCTCTTGGGAAGCATACACCATGTAGAGGAACCCGTCTTCGTGGCGGTGGTGCTCGTACACCTGCAAAGCATCAAGCCACTGCTATTAATTTTTTTTATACATAATTATGGTACAGAACTTACTGAACTGCAAAACACACCAAAACGTCAAATACCGCGCAAAAAACTTTCTATCCTTTACCTACCTACACATGAATATACAAATAAATATGCAAGTGTAAGGAGAAAGACAGTAATTTTGAAAAAGAAATGTTACAAAATAACAAGATGGAAAGAAATCTTTCATTAACGTTTGAAAGAAAACTAAATGCATGGAGGATTCCCACTAGGAGGATGCCATAAGGAAGAGAAAAAGGATGCCAAAAGGAAAAGAAATTTATGTGAATCTGTAATGTAAAAAATCTTGTGCAAAATAAACAAAAAAAAAAAAAAATCAAATCTTTGCAATATGAAATAACTATGATAAGTAAATGTGTGACAGATAGGTGATGAAATTTAATGCTGATAAATGCCATGCAAAAGAAATGGAAGAAAGCAAAATCCGACCATATAAAAAATACAGACTGACAAAATTTTGTGATTATCATACAGAATATGGGAGCTAAGAGTTATTAATAACAAATTATCACTAGATCATGTGTAAATGAAATTGAAAACCAAACCATACCACAGGCGGGGATAAAACCCACGATCAGAGAGTCTCAAAACTCCAGACCGTCGCGTTAGCCACTGGACCAGCTAGTCACAATAAGATTCGCCCAACTAGGTATATTTCTACACCATAGGAAGGTTAGCATAGGCACCACTGTGACCACAAATACAACTTTTGACATGGATGGAGATGCCATGAGGATACAAGCAGATTTCTGGCTATTTTTTTTTAATTAACACACTGGCTGATTCCCACCAAGGCAGGGTGGCCTGAAAAATAAAAACTTTCACCATCATTCACTCCATCACTGTCTTGCCAGAAGGGTGCTTTACACTACAGTTTTTAAACTGCAACATTAACACCCCTCCTTCAGAGTGCAGGCACTGTACTTCCCATCTCCAGGACTCAAGTCTGGCCTGCCGGTTTCCCTGAATCCCTTCATAAATGTTACTTTGCTCACACTCCAACAGCACGTCAAGTATTAAAAACCATTTGTCTCCATTCACTCCTATCAAACACGCTCACGCATCCCTGCTGGAAGTTCAAGCCCCTCGCACACAAAACCTCCTTTACCCCTCCCTCCAACCTTTCCTAGGCCGACCCTACCCCGCCTTCCTTCCACCACAAACTGATACACTCTTTAAGTCATTCTGTTTTGTCCATTCGCTCTACATGTCCAAACCCCCTCAACCCTTCCTCGCCCTCTGGACAACCCGTTTTGGTAATCCCACACCTCCTCCTAACTTCCAAAAATACGAATTCTCTGCATTATTCACACCCACATTACCCTCAGACATGACATCTCCACTGCCTCCAGCCTTCTCCTCGCTGCAACATTCATCACCCATGCTTCACACCCATATAAGAGCGTTGGTAAAACTATACTCTCATACATTCCCCTCTTTGCCTCCAAGGACAAAGTTCTTTGTCTCCACAGACTCCTAAGTGCACCACTCACCCTTTTCCCCTCATCAATTCTATGATTCACCTCATCTTTCATAGACCCATCCGCTGACACGTCCACTCCCAAATATCTGAATACATTCACCTCCTCCATACTCTCTCCCTCCAATCTGATATCCAATCTTTCATCACGGAAATATAAACACATATGCAGTATAATGTGATCCTTTATTGACTATGTTTCACCCACACAGTGGGCTTTTTCAAGTCACAAACAAATAGATCTGTTTGTGACTTGAAAAAGCCCACTGTGTGGGCGAAACGTAATCAATAAAGGATCACATTATACTGCATATGTGTTTATATTTCCATTGTGTCGGTATTTTATACCATTTATTTCCATCTTTATCACCTAATCTTTTTGTTATCCTCAACCTTACTCTTTCCTGTATTCACTTTTAATTTTCTTCCTTTGCATACCCTACCAAATTCATCCACCAACCTCTGCAACTTCTCTTCAGAATCTCCCAAGAGCACAGTGTCATCAGCAAAGAGCAACTGTGACAACTCCCACTTTGTGTGTGATTCTTTATCTTTTAACTCCACGCCTCTTGCCAAGACCCTCGCATTTACTTCTCTTACAACCCCATCTGTAAATATATTAAACAACCACGGTGACATCACATATCCTTGTCTAAGGCCTACTTTTACTGGGAAATAATCTCCCTCTTTCCTACATACTCTAACTTGAGCCTCACTATCCTCGTAAAAACTCTTCACTGCTTTCAGTAACCTACCTCCTACACTATACACCTGCAACATTTGCCACATTGCCCCCCTATCCACCCTGTCATACGCCTTTTCCAAATCCATAAATGCCACAAAAACCTCTTCAGCCTTATCTATATACTGTTCACTTATATGTGGCTAATGTGCATGAATTAGTATTTTAATGCATGATTATTTTTTGTAACACAAACATTTTGTGATAATCTGAGTTAATGTTGACTATCAAGCTAAGTTTAACATGACTCACACGATGGTCTGGAGTTTTGAGACTCTGTGATCGCGGGTTCTATCCCCACTCGTGGTATGGTTTGTAAGCTAAGTTTAGCTTGTATTTTCATGGGATTTGATCAGTCTTAAGTTAAAGACCATGTACATAAAGACAGTCCACAATAAAAATAGCATTCATGTTATTTGTAAATAATTTAAAAAAGTGGATGGAGCAAAATATGAGAACTTGGAGGGTGCATAAATCTGAAGTGGAAGGAAAGTGGGGTAGGGGTCAGCCTAGGAAAAGTGGGAGGAAGGGCAATAAAGGCTCAGTATGTGAGGGGTTTGGACATCCAACAGGCATGTGTGAGTGTTAGATAGTGGTAAATGAAGGCAAGTGGTTTTTATGAATTGATGTACACCTGAAGTGTAAGGTAACACTTATGAAGAGATTCAGGGAAACCGGTTAGCTGGACTCGAGTCCTGTAGGTGGGAACTAGAGTGCCTGCACTCTAAAGGAGGGATAGGGATATTTCAGTTTTGAGGGGCATCTAAACTGTAAGAACAGTGCACCTCTGGCAAGACAGTGATGGTGAAAGTGTTTCTTTGTTTTTGGGTCACTGTACCTTTGTGTGTTAAAAAAAATGTTAAGAAAATGAATAATTATAATTTAAGAAAGAAAACAGTGATAATGAATTAGTTTATTTTAACAATGTAATGCTCTTTTGCTTTCTATCTGTAAATGTGGGTTTGACATTCTCTATCCCTATCTCTCACACTGATCAACATGGCTGGAAGCAGGTGGTTGCATTTTGTTTGGCAAGTTCTGTGATACCCTGAAGTTAAGAGTTATTTTAGGCCAGTGTTGATGTGTTCTGGGGATGCTCCTAGAGGTGCTGCAGTGTGCAAAAACACTGGGAATGCAGCTGAGAGAGCTTGAAAATAAATAAAGGTATAAAACAAGAAACTTAAGGCTGCCATTTCATTGTGATTCCAAGGCAAGGCCTTGAGATTTTGCTATTATCAACTTGTACTCTGATGAATACCATTTATGCTACAAGAAGTAACATGGTTTACCCATATTTATGTTTCTGACTTTATTCAAAATGTTGTTATTATTATTATTAAAAAGTATAATTTTCTCAACAGTTGTTTCTCTGATACCCATCTTGTTTGAGAGTGCTGTGGTTTGGCATAGCCACCTATGGGGTCTGTTGAAGGAGATGATGTCCTGAGTGTCATTACATATCCTAGACTAGCAGTTATATTGTGTATGATCACAAGAGGTAAGTTATCCACTTATTACTTACATAGGACTTCATACCCATGCAAAAATAACCCTAGACTTAATATAACAGTGAATATAAAAAAAAGACCAGTTATGTATAGTTGGTAAACCTGACAAATTCATTTAACAGGTCAAAGATGCCACTGTGGGCCAAAGGATCTTGACATAGAAGTCTGTGTGTGTGTGTAATCAACTATGAATGTAACAGGAGAAACTATATATAAAAAAAAATTTACAACATACATGTATATTAGGCCAAAATTGTAATATGCAGTGATAGCACAGTTATAAAATCATATGAATAAACAGATAAAGAATGTCTCTTGATAACTTAAAAACGAATTACACAAGGCTACAGATGCAAATTATGAATTTTGTCTTTACGAATAGTGCCGGAAGAATGAACTGAAAGAGGAAGTAGCAAGTTCTACAACTAAAGGGAATCATATAAAATTTCTGTGACTATATCAGTGAAGACAGAACACCTTGAGCACAGTTCTGGTCAGGTCAGGGACCAAGCAGCAGGAGTGCTGACTCATAAAACTGTCTCCAGGTAAAGTCCTGTCACTACAAATATGTAAATATAAATTAGTAATAAATTTTATGAATAAACCTTTCATGATAAGTCTACTTTAGACTTTCATTCATAAAAGTAAACATATCTTCCTCCATATTGCACATCCATACAATGAGAATTATGATGTTCGTGGGGAAGCAGTAAACCTATAGGGATCACATAGCTATACACTGTGGCAACATATTATGTCAAGTGAGCCCTTAATGTTCTGGAACGACAGAAGAAATACTTCTTCTTTCAACACACCGGCTGTATCCCACTGAGGCAGGGTGGCCCAAAAAGAAAAACGAAAGTTTTTCTTTTTAAATTTAATAATACGTATATACATGTACAGGAGAAGGGGTTACTAGCCCTTTGCTCCAAGCATTTTAGTCACCTCTTATGACATGCACGGCTTACGGAGAAGAATTCTGTTCAACTTCCCCATGGAGAAATATTTATCAGCATTTAATAAACAAACTGAAGTACTTTACCTGAGCAAGAGTATTGGAGACATTGGCAAGGGCACGCTGGTTGATGAGGAGGAAAAATGCTTGAGTAGGGTGCAGCTGTAGCCGCCGCCTGTTAAAATATTAATTTAGTATAACACAGGAGACCCCATTGGAATACATATACTGGATTAACTTTTACAATTTATTGATGCCAATTTATGATTTTTTCTGTTTTTTAATTACTTTAAGTGTTTAACACTATGTAAACTAGTTTCTTATGATATTATATATGTTTAAAGATGTTTTAGCACTTCAAACATGGAGAAATGCCTAACCCAACATTGCTCCACTTGGAAAGTTTGGTATATATACACGGTATAATTTTTATCCTTTCTTTTTTTGCCATTTTGGTCTTCTAACACTATGTACAAGGAATACTTATAATATGGGTTAAATATACTTAGTTTGCTTTTTGGGTGAATTCCATTGTTAGTATCATGAAATTGTAATACATCTTTAATGAATAAGTCATCTTTGTGCACACACAGTTTTCTGGTAGGGAAGCTCATGGTGGAACAACAGCTCCTGGTTTCACTCTTTTTTTACTTTCACTAGTTAGGTGTATTAGTACGTCAGATACAGTCATCACTTGTGTTGTTAACCCTGATACACTGTGTGAACCCTCCTGGCCTTAGATTTTTTTCAAATGCATTAACAGATTGAAGACCCAAAGAATTGTGCTAAGGTCAAATATATTGGCAGATTTGAAGGTATGAAAAATTGTGCATACTAGTACGTTAAACACAGTTTAAGGGTTAAAAGAATAAAATGATTAATATGGTAATATACAATTTACTAACCTTATAATCTTGACAAGTTCTCCCATGGTAACATGATCTGGAACAAGGAATTTTGTTTTATCCAGAAGAGGGAGATGCCTCTCGCCAGGGTATCGTTCTATTATCACTGGAACTTTATTTGGGTGTTGTTCTCTAATCTGTTCAACATCCCTCTGACGCTGGGCTGCAAAAATTTAGTAATTTGTATTATAATTCTAACTTTAGTAGTAATAACTTACCTATGCATTAATCCTAATAGCATATCAAATTACAATTCATTTGGTAATGCACTCAGGTCACACGTTGTGTGTCCGTTGTTTAATCCCCGGTAAGGGTGGAAACATTAGGCGTGTTTCCTTACACCTGCTGTTAACTGGGTCTGTATAAGTCATATCATGTGCTTATAGAAATAAAGGTTATATTACTATTTTAATTATAAAACAAAATAAGATACCCAAGTGATGCATGTGTCTTATTCATCATGTTAGTGTTGTATACCATCAATATGATACTTGTCACTAATTTTTGGGGTTATCCAAAGTAATTTACACTATATAATAATTGTACAGTGGTACCTCGAGTTACGAACTTAATTTGTTCCAGAAGGCTGTTCGAGCGCCGATACCAAAAGAATTTGTTCCCATAAGGAATAACGTAAATTAGACTAGTCCAATTCAGACCCCCAAAAATACACTTACAAATACACTTACAAAAATACACTTCCGTAACTGTTTGAGTTGGGAGCTGTTCAAAACTCGAGGTACCACTGTACTTACGTGTACCTGTGTCTAAATAAACCTACTGACACAGCTACACCATAGTGTCTTGGTACAAGGACAGTCTTCCACAACTCCTTTGTTAAACTGTTTAGACTAACCTACTTCCACTAGTGAGCCACTCTCACATATGACATCGACTTCAGTGCCTTCACCTCACTTCTAACCTAATATATAAGGTCTGGCCATATACCTATGCTTTTGGCTTCAAAAAAATTACCACTTGAAGAATGAGACACTTGTGTCTCATTCTTCAACTTGTCAGTTTTCAAAACCATTTTCATCAGGAATGTGTTGGATGTCGGGTTTGCAGCAGACTGAAATGTAGCTCATCAGACCTGCACAGTAAAACATCAAGGAAAGGGACAGCCATGAACCAGGTTGAGCCCTCCATCAAATTCATGTGCTAGTCCAGCTTACTGTTTATGACTTGAAGGGAAAAAACACTGCATGGGCAAAATGTTTTCAATAAAGGATCTCAATACACTGTATTTGCATCTTTCTTTCCACTGTATTACTGCTACATATCATTTCTCTGTAAGACAGACCCATGCTTTGACCGGTTGTTCTCAATCACGTAAACAAAGACTTTAACGTTTGTTTTACTATTTTACATTAAAATTCCCGGTCTCCTCAACTCAGGAATCTTTTAAACTATTTCCTCTGCATAGTAGAAGGAAGCCACACCAGATTATTACTTGACTTCGTTCACCTCAGCAAGAAGAAATTATTCATTTTCTGAGGAGGAAAAGACATTGATAAATGACACTTTAGTACAACATTTGGGTATCGTTATTCTGGAAACGAAGCCACACAGTGGCCTCTTAAGGCTGATGCAGAGAAAGATGGAAGATGAGGAGTTTAAGGTAATCAGTTCCTCATCTGGAGTTAATGTGCACAGTCCATCAATCTTGACAAAAGTGCAGCATGTTCGTGAAGACGGGGTTCATATGCTGATAACATCAGGTGGAGCAGTGGTAGGCAGGACCACCAGCAAACAAAAACCACTAATGAAAGTAGGTCATGACTATAGGTTACACAAGTTTTGAAGAAATCTCTACATCAAGATACCAAGATGATGCTATGTCTGACAGGATGTGAATAAATGGTTTACAAAACCAATAAGTTGATAAATGAGGCAATAGTGCAATATTTGGGTATCTTCATTCTAGAAAGCCAGCCAGTAACTTCTTCAGTCCAATACAGAGAATGGTGGAAGATGAATTTGAAGTAATCAGTCCCTCAGCCTAGAGTCGATGTGTTGCACTATGTCTCATTTATCAACTTGTCTATTTTATAAACCATTTATTCAAAGGAGAAGACGTGTCTCCACCTGAGTGTAGAAACCACAAACACCAAGTCCACCTCAGATAAGGATACGTATACATTTATAAGCGTAGCTGTAAATCAATACACAAAGGTCTTTCATAATGAACTTTAACCACAACATAAAAGCCAAGATAAATTAAGTGGCTGGATCATCAGTCAATATCTGGAGTGAAGAAGCTTACACATAACTTGAAGCTGCTGAGCCAAGATAAACTAGATAGTATTAATTAAACGACAAGAAATACTCGCCTGAACAGCACTCAGAGGTTATTGGTGCCTTGGATAGCATTGCCTAACAGCTGGGTGTAATTTTGGGCATAATTTCAGTGTTATCAGACGATGACGCACTTGGGGGAAAATGGTGCTGGACAAAGGATGTAAAAGCCTTGACTTGTCGACTTACCGAAATTTCTCCTTTCCCTGAAAGGTTTGGCTTGAGTGTTCATGGTTGGCGGCTTAAGTGGTAGCTAATAAGTATTTAGAAAGCAGTAACTATCTTGTGGTAACTATATAACAAGAGTAAATAGTTATAATAGGAGAGTGAGTGGACGTGCACCTCGTCTCAGCTGTTCCAATGTTTTGTTTACATCTGCCAGTCGTTCCCATTTTGTCACTCAATTTTTTTTCTTTTAAAAAGCAGGAAATGCAGGTCCTGTCACCCTTAATATAATCTGTTATATAATGTATAATTATCAGTGAATATTCCTGCGTTGGTATTAGAGTGATGAGGAGGGAAATAAGTTAATAATGAGTAGTTGCGCAGTGATGACCAGGGAGGAGAATCTACCAGCAGCGGTGATCTGTAACGAGGCTCGCCATTGGTTCTATTATTAAACAAGCCCGTGTGGACGGCCCTCCCAGCCAACCAGCGCCGCCCTTGCAACCCGCACCAACATCCTATATTGGTGACTGATGGCCCACGATTTTGCAAACGATTGTTATGGAGATAAGGCAAGGAGATAACGCCGGAGATGGCGCGGGTTCCTCCGGTTGAACCTGTGGAAGGAATGACGGGTATCTGCAGAATTATGGTAGACTCCGGCGGGAGTCGGGGGGGAAGCCGTTGACAAGCACTCACAAAGAATGTGTGAGTGAGATTTTTGAACGTCGGCTTTTCTGTGATGTTTTGGCGCCATTGTGGAGTTGGGCGGCGGCGACCAATGGGCTTGGAGGATGAGGATCACGTGACCCCTAGAGTGGAGTGCGACGTTGTCAGATGTTGTGTCGAGTGTCAGTGTTTGTGAGGGCGGCGATGAGGGAGTGTCTGTGTCGTGCTCCAAGCTGCATAACCTGTGAGAGCAAGCTTGATTAAAGGGAAATACCGCTGAACAAGTGCTAGGGAAAGTTTAAGTGAAGCGTAGAGTGCAAAAAAAGAGGTGGATGAGTTTGAAGTGCGATAGTGGCCGAATTTGTTAGAAATTAATTATAAGGCGAGTGCCCCTTGCGGGTGGAATACGCTGTGTGTAGGCAAAACCTTGGATAGGATAACTTGTACTTGGGACATGGATTATGGTCTCTCCCTTCTCTGATTCAGGTAAGTCACACCACCACACGCTTCTCCGAGCCGCTACTAACTGCTTGTTAGCCTCAACTACCTGTCGCCTTGTTTGGTAGTGGTTTTGAGAAATGTAAACAGGGGTGGTGAGGGGTCTGCCTCACCATGTGATTCATCTCTACAATGGCCAACACTTACTCCTCCTCCTGCCCCTCTCTACCTCCTCTCTCACCCACCTTTACTTCTTACTCTCAGAGATGTTCTGTATAACCAGGGGCTTCCTGTGTGGCAGCCTCGGTCATTCCTGAAGTTGTTGCAAAGTGTACTGTGTACAAGTAGTTTGATCTTTTATCCATCACTCGTCATTGCTTCTCTTCTTAATTCCATTAACTCTTTATTACTCCATTATCCCTTCATTGCTTGCTACTCTTCTTCATTACCCCTTCATTGCTACTCTTCTTCATTACCCCTTCATTGCTACTCTTCTTCATTACCCTTCATTGTTACTCTTCTTCATTACCCCTTCATTGTTACTCTTCATTATCCCTTCATTGTTACTCTTCTTCATTACCCCTTCATTGTTACTCTTCTTCATTACCCCTTCATTGCTACTCTTCTTCATTTACCCCTTCATTGTTACTCTTCTTCATTACCCTTCATTGTTACTCTTCTTCATTACCCTTCATTGTTACTCTTCATTATCCCTTCATTGTTACTCTTCTTCATTACCCCTTCATTGTTACTCTTCTTCATTACCCCTTCATTGCTACTCTTCTTCATTATCCCTTCATTGTTACTCTTCTTCATTACCCTTCATTGTTACTCTTCTTCATTACCCCTTCATTGTTACTCTTCTTCATTATCCCTTCATTGTTACTCTTCTTCATTACCCTTCATTGTTACTCTTCTTCATTATCCCTTCATTGCTACTCTTCTTCATTACCCCTTCATTGTTACTCTTCTTCATTACCCTTCATTGTTACTCTTCTTCATTACCCCTTCATTGTTACTCTTCTTCATTATCCCTTCATTGTTACTCTTCTTCATTACCCCTTCATTGTTACTCTTCTTCATTACCCCTTCATTGCTACTCTTCTTCATTACCCCTTCATTGTTACTCTTCTTCATTACCCCTTCATTGCTACTCTTCTTCATTACCCCTTCATTGTTACTCTTCTTCATTATCCCTTCATTGTTACTCTTTTTCATTACCCCTTCATTGCTACTCTTCTTCATTACCCCTTCATTGCTACTCTTCTTCATTACCCCTTCATTGTTACTCTTCTTCATTATCCCTTCATTGCTACTCTTCTTCATTATCCCTTTATTGCTACTCCTCATTACTCCTTCATTGATATTCTTCATTATTCCTTCATTGCTATTTTTCGTTACTCCTTCATTATTTTATTTCCTTCATGTAATCAGCTTCATGGCTCTACGCTCTCCAGCATTACTCTTATTATTATTCTAGTCCCTCCATTATTCTTCTTTATTACTTCACTCCATCACTGATTTCTTACGAATCCATCCCTGATTATTCTGCTCCCTACATTAATATGTGCTCTTCATTTCTCTACTCCTTCATTACTCCCCCATTTATTTTCTCCCCTTCATTACTGTCCTTCTACTACAGTGCCCCATCATTACTCTCCCTCTACTAGTCTCCCATCATTACTCTCCCTCTACTACAGTCCCCCATCATTACTACAGTCCCCCATCATTACTCTCCCTCTACTACAGTCCCCCATCATTACTCTCCCTCTACTACAGTCCCCCATCATTACTAGAGTCCCCCGTCATTACTCTCCCTCTACTACAGTCCCCCATAATTACTCTCCCTCTACTACAGTCCCCCGTCATTACTCTCCCTCTACTACAGTCCCCCATCATTACTCTCCCTCTACTACAGTCCCCCATCATTACTCTCCCTCTACTACAGTCCCCCATACATTACTCTCCCTCTACTACAGTCCCCCATCATTACTCTCCCTCTACTACAGTCCCCATCATTACTCTCTCCTCTACTACAGTCCCCCATCATTACTCTCCCTCTACTACAGTCCCCCATATTACTCTCCCTCTACTACAGTCCCCCATCATTACTCCCTCTACTACAGTCCCCCATCTACTCTCCCTCATACAGTCCCCATCATTACTCTCCCTCTACTACAGTCCCCCATCATTACTCTCCCTCTACTACAGTCCTCCATCATTACTCTCCCTCTACTACAGTCCCCCATCATTACTCTCCCTCTACTACAGTCCCCCATCATTACTCTCCCTACTTCACAGTCCCCCATTCATTAACTAAGACACCATTATACAGTCCCCATCATTACTTCCCTCTACAAGTCCCATCATACTCTCTATCACATACCACCTATCATTAGGTCACATCACTTAAGAAGCACTCCTGCATTACTCTCACGCCCCATCGTTATCCATCTCCTCCATTATCATGACCAACGTCATTCAGGTACTCATCATGGAGTCTCCATGTTTCTTCGCTCTACACCCCCTTCAGTATCTCCACTTCCCCTCCTTCTCCTTCATTATTCCACTCCTCATTACTCCACTCCTCTCCTTCATTACTCCACTCCTCTCTTTCATTACTACTCTCCTCTCCCCTTCATTACTCCACTCCTCTCCTTCATTGCTACACTCCTCTCTTTCATTACTACACTCCTCTCCTTCATTACTACACTCCTCTCTTTCATTACTACACTCCTCTCCTTCATTACTACACTCCTCTCCTTCATTACTACACTCCTCTCTTTCATTACTACACTCCTCTCTTTCATTACTACACTCCTCTCCTTCATTACTCCACTCAACCCCCATTTCTTACTCATTCGACCACTTCACTCTACCTTTCCACAGATACTGCACAATTTAATCATTGTTTAGAATTTTTTTTATATCTAATCTGAGCTTTTGAGTTGTCACGTGAGGTATCCTGCCTGACTAGGATGTGGGTGTGGGTAATATAATCTACTCCTTCTCTTGAGATATAAATAATCTCAAGAAACCTACTGCTTCTGCTACTACTACCATCACCAGACTTGGCATTATCTGGAGGGAGACTTGACGGAAGGTAATGAAAATAATTACTAATGTATCATTTGCAAAAGAATTTTACAAGCTTCCCTACCATATAGATTTCCCCAGGGAATTAATTATTATTATTATTGCGACGCGCAAAACCAGTGTGAGCCATTCAGTGCATGGACTAGTAGAGGCTCCGTCCTCCATCCTCTTACCACGAGGCGGACGGACAGATCCAACGTAAATGATTCAAAATAGATAATTGTGACAGTAAGAAGGGACAGTTGCAGTTGTAATAAGATGTAACCTTATGGACAAATATGTCCAAAACAGGTGCCAAAATGCTCAAAATCAGTGTCAAAAATGTCACATTAATGAGACATAAAAGTTGCAGGATAACCTCGAAGGCCAGTCCTAATGCTTCTGGTGTATAACACTGGGATTTTGAAGATTAACTGGTAACAACGTAATGTAATAACAGAAAAGCCTTCGACGTTTAATAATTATTTGCTACCACTACCAGTGATGTACTGTGACCAGTTTATAGAATTTTTCTACTCCCGCAACCCGGCCCTGGCCGATTTGCCTGGTCAATCAGGCTGTTGCTACTGGCAGCCCCTGGTTCACATATCCATAAGTGCCATTTTGATCCTGCACTTGGCGGAGCATGAAAGCAACTTACGCAAAGTCATAGTTACATGCCGCATGGTTCTCTGTCGATTTGACCTAATATATCACAGTTGGCTATTGGCCCCTAACCAACTATTTTAAAAGCTTAATGAATGTAAAGAGTAATTTAGTAAACCAGCCTTGGGAAATCATAGAACCGGCTATCCTGCCTGAGATGTAGAAGACGGTCATTGTGATGCTTATATACAAAGGGAGAAATCCTTGGCTGTTAATTACAGATCAACCAGACCTCGAGTGAAGAAGTATATGGGAATTTGTGCCTAATTTCACAAGTGGTGTTCTTGCCAAATAAATTTGATAATCTCGCCGAGGTATTTGAGGCAGTAAGGGTTTTTGAGTTCCACATCACACGGCGCTCGGTATTGAAGCAGAAATTTTACCCCGGGTTGTGGCATGGCTGACCGCTAAGCAATAGTTTGCATAAAGGGAGTGAAATCAGAATGAGAACGAGTCATACGTAAGCATGCCACATGGGTCAGATTGTCCCTTTGTTTACAAATGTACTCCGGGGAATAAGTAGCTGTATAAGCAAGTTTCCTGACTACATAAACAAAAGTTCACATGAGGACACAAGGGAACATCAGCATCACTTGATAAACTCCCGGTGAGCTAATTTTATCCTAATATAAAGTATCCCAAACGTTGCATGTGTTCGCTTACATAATAGATTGTATACGACTAAAAGAGCGCATAGGGAATATAGACAAAGCACTTAAAATATCGATGAACCAACGCAGAACTCAGGACCATATATTCAAGCTGGATGCATATTTTAAAGGATATGGAACATTACGAGTATGTTGGTACAGCTGGAGATGAATGACAAATTACCTAGTAGCATCAATGAAACAAATTCTTAAGGTAGTATTATGTATAGGGTAATTGAACGAAGACCTGAAATGGGAAAGAGCTTCTGCTAACAAGCCTACTGCAGTGCTCCACAGTATTTATATCCCTAGATTAGATTTCCTACTAACACATTAGTAGCAAAAATTTCATCTTTAATTATCAACTTACGTAGGAGACTATAACCGCAATGTTTTATTTAATAGTGTTTTTTGTATATAAAATTTCACGTTATTATGAAAGCTTCAAGGTGTAGGGTATATTATTATCTGCTGATACTCGAATATTATTCTGATTACTTGATAATGTTTGAAGCGACATTGACATTACCTTAATAGCGCGTTACTAACCTTATTATTGTTGTGATCACAGTCTGTAGATTATATGCAATGATCGCTTTGTACAACCATTTCTAAATAAAGAATTATTATTAAGGCATGAATGCCAATAATAGTAAA